CTACACGACCAAACTTAAGCTAAACCCGCACAGCCTGGACTGAGCTTAAAAGCATTTTGCAGACTGAACCAGTCTAAAATGCAGTTGAACCCGTAAGTGAGGTGAAAGGAGTAGGATTTATTTGCTGGCCTTGGCCTTACTTTGTGCCAGTCAGCGTAACACAGCAACTGCTTCCAAACTAAATGACTGCAAACTCTTGAGCTTCCCACCTCCCGGTTCTGACAGCATAGGGCATCCCAAAGCGATAAAAGTAAGTTGCACCTTTTCTGGCCAGAACAAAGTAGAGAACGACATAGCCAAGGGAACACATGTTCTGAAAATGAGAACTAAAAGGGAGTAGGGGGTGGTAGTAGTACAACTTTGAGACTTTAAGGACACCATTAATTCACAGCTGAGGTCAAGGATTCCCAAATTAATTCAGGAAGTAATGGTCACACATTTCTCAAATGCAGATGTCAGAAAACTTAAATGATTTACTGTTATGTGGCTGTGGGCTGCGAGGGAGAACAAACTTAAAGTGGCTGCAGTTTCTGACATTTAAAATTGCTTGTTTGTCCACCTGTGGCAGAAGGACAGCAGCGAAGCATTAGAGGCTCTGCTCCCAGTAACTTCCAACTTGACACTCAGGCATCTCTTATGGGGCAGAGCCCACAGCCCCCATTCACAGGGATACTTCCCATGCTGCTCCCAATGAGATCTACTTACTCTGGGGAGGGATTACTCACTTCAATGAGGGAGCAAGATGGAGCCCTGAAAACATCTAGTTCAGAGACTTAAAAGCAAATAAATGGTAGAATGCAATGCTGAGTCTGCAGGACTCACGCAAGCCCATTTCAGGTTAAAACAAAAAGCAAAGACACACAATTAATGTTTTTTTCTGAGGCATAGAAACTAATGCCCTTCCAGCTTCCAACAAGCAGCACTGACCTGGAGGAAAAAAACAAAAACAACCCAACACCAAGTCTTCTCCCGTTAGGCAAAAGCAACAGGCACATGTTCCAAAGGAGCCCTCCTGGCTCTTTGAGTCACTTACCCTCCACGAGCGACGTGAGCAAGGTAACATTAGCAGCTTTACGCCTCCCGGCTGGCAGGTTTAATCCTATTTTGTCCAGTTTCTCCCTCAGAGATCTCCCTCCGTTTTTAGACTTCGCCCTGCGCCACACAGAAAGGCACTGAGAAATAGGGCTGGGGGGGGGGACACCTGCTCCCGCTTTGACTCCACAGATCACCCCATCACATCGCCTTCCTAAGGAGGGGAGTAAAGGGGGGGAGCTGAAGAGCAAACGTTGCTGAAAGTTGAGTCTCAGACATAGGGATGGGGCTTTGGATGGCTCCATGTCTAGGGAATAAGCGCCCTCACTAAGGTCCAGATCAGCCCCCAGGCTGGTGGGGAGCTCTGGACATGTCAAGGCCAGGGCCAGACCCCTGAGCCAGCTGCCTGAGCTCCCAAGATGCCATGGACCTGGGGGCAGCTACTCCCCACAGGCCATATGCAGCAGCCCAGGCATTAAAGGAAGGAGGCTGTTTTGTAAGGTCAGCAGCCCCCATTACTGCCACGGAGCATTGCTGCCCTTACTCTAATCCCTATGTGGCCCATCTGTGGCTTTTCAGTAGTGCCAGACCTAGTGGGGCCGTGGAGGTGGGAGCTGGCTTAATTAATCCTGGATGTTACTCCCTGTCCAGGTGCTACGTAATTGCTTGGGTGAGGTTGCAGGCCCAGGGTGGCAGGCGGCAGGGTGGGTGCCCGTGGCGGGGCACCAACTGGTATCCTCCCCATTCCTGGGGGGGGGTGTGTGTGTGTGTGAAAGGGGGGGTTCATCATCATGATGGGACAATATG